ACTTTCTTTGGCTCCATGATCACTGCAGATGGTGACAGCAGCCACAAAATTAAAAGACACCTGCTTCTTGGGAGGAAAGCGATGACAAACCTAGGCAGCATCTTAAAAAGCAGAGACATCACCTTCCCAACAAAAGTCCACATAGTCAAAGCTATGGTTTTCCTGTAGTGATGTATGGAAGTGAGAGCTGGACCATAAAGGCTCCAATACTTTAGCCACCTCAAGAGAAGACGACAGTGTCATCAAAGCTCCCAATATGAATTTGACCCAACTCTGGGAGGCAGTGGAAGACAGGAGGGCCTGGCATGCTCTGGTCCATGGGGGTCACGAAGAGTCGGACATGACTTAATGACTAAACAACAACAAGAGTCAATCCACTGAATCAACTGCTGAATGGTAAGTCAATACAGGTTCAATTACTATATTCTGTTTGAGACTAAAAATTGGATTTAGACCATGAAATATAATTTAATATTCCAGATGAAAATTTAAAATGCCCACCTTCGATATTCTGCTAAACACAAGATGTATATGTTTGGCAGCAATTGTCCAAGTGAAGTTTGTGATAATACCTGTCAGAGTGCCTCTCCCTCGGGCCATCTTCCCATTCTAGCCACGCCTACCAATCTTTGATGCTGTGGGTAGCCACTCCACAAGAGGCCTGAAAGTCATCAACCAGAAACTGGGCCTTCTTCGTAGTGGCTGCCCCAAGCCTTACCCCTTTGTAATATTAATTTTTTAGTAAGTTTATTCTGGCCCATGGTTTGCCACCCTGAGTCTTGCACTATTTGCTAGACTGGGTTTTTTTTTTTTGTTATATATGTCCATTTAAACAAATCTGTTCGCATATTCATGCTATTTTTTGGAAGTTGCCCAGAGTAGTGGCTTGTCCATTAAATGGGTGGAGTATAAGTACAAACAAATGAACAAACACATAAATAAATACAATACCTCATAATCTTCCATTTCAGACATTTCAGGAAATTCAGTTTCTAAAAACAAAAACAAAAAATTCACTGTATAAACTGATATTTTGATGTCACAGAACCATCTTGTATTGTAATGTTGGAGCTTTTGCTATGAGTAAGGGCTGAGCTAGATGGCACAGTTAGCCTGCAATTAAAAGCAGAACTGCTTTAAAAGGAAAAGATTAATCATCTGGTACTATTTTGACTCAATCCATATTTTTCATATTTGGCTGCTTTTTTAAAACAACTGGTTACTGACAGGTAAGCGCAGTTTGTTTCTGTGTCCAATTTCTCAGGCACGTAGCTCGAAAAATGGGCACAACTGGAGGGATAACACAATGAAAGAAATAAACCTATAAATGTGTACTCCGACCCATAGAGCCAAACTATATGTGACATTGGAGATCTGTGAGCAGATATTCAGACATCCATTTCGTTTTATATAAGCAGCTACCATGGTGCGAGCTGTTGTGAGGTGTTAGATTTTAGTTGTGGCACTGACTGGAGAGGATGTTAACTCTTTCTGCTATGCAGTTTTCCTTTATTTAAAGCAGAACTCCGGTTATTAGCTATATAATAAAGATAAGGTAAAGGTTCCCCTTGACAATTTTTGTCCAGTCGTGTTCGACTCTAGGGGGCGGTGCTCATCCCCGTTTCCAAGCCATAGAGCCAGCATTTGTCCGAAGACAATCTTCCATGGTCACATGGCCAGTGCAACTTAGACACGGAACGCTGTTACCTTCCCACTGAAGTGGTCCCTATTTATCTACTTGCATTTGCATGTTTTCGAACTGCTAGGTTGGCAGGAGCTGGGAGAAGCGACGGGAGCTCACTCCATCAAGTGGATTCGATCTTACGACTGCTTGGTCTTCTGACCCTGCAGCACAGGCTTCTGCGGTTTAGGCTGCAGCGCCACCACGTCCCTTATTAGCTATATAATAGCTGAAGTGAAAAAACAGAAGTACAGTATACTTATATTTTCCATCCCACATTATAGACTCATAGAAGAAAGGTGTTGGAAGGATCCTATGTGGCCATTGAGTCCAACTTCCTGATCAGTGCAGGAATCGAAATCAAAGTATATCTGACAGACAGTTGTCTAATTTTCTCTTGAATGCCTCTATTGCTAGAGTGCTCATCATCCCCTGAGGAATTGGTTCCATTGATGTACCGCTCTAATAGGACTTTTTTCTGATATTTTAACCAAAATTCTGTTACTTGAGCCCATTATTACTCCTCCTGCAGTCTGGGATGATCAAGAACAGACCCTGTCTCTCCTCTGTATACCTTTCCACTATCGATGATCAAGAACAGACCCTGTCCCTCCTCAGTATACCTTTCCACTATTTGAAAACATGCTTTCCACATGCTATCATATCTCTCCTCAGTCTTCTTTTCTCAAGATTAAACATGTGAAGTTCTTTCTGTCTTTCTTCACGAGGCTTAGTTTCCATTTCCCTAATCATCTTTGTTGTCTTCCTCTAAACTTGTTCCAGTTTGTCTGCATCCCTCTTAAAGTGTGGTGTCCTAATAGAGAAGAATATGGCTAATAGCAGAAGTGTGTGATTATACAGTAAGTGTGTGAATATGTGTATATGAGAGAGAGAATTAAATGATATACCTAGATTTTGGAACCCCATTCTTAGGAAAGCTCATTTCTCTGTTATTTCCACCTCCCTTTTTCATTTCCCCCCCTAGTACTCCTATCTCTGTATTTCTTTTTGTCAGTTTTGTTTGTGATGTTGCTGTACGGTTTTGTCACTTTTTACCAGTTGGCAAGTGTTGCTGTTTTTTAATGTAAAGGTAGAATATAAACATTTTAAAGTAAACTATATATTAATAATAAATGGTGACACAGAAGAAAATGCCCCCCAGTGCCATGGTACTAATTCAGATTGGTCCTGATAGATAAATTTATGCAAAGAAAGGATTTAAGAAGTTCTAATCATGGATCTCCTTTATCACATAAAAACCCACAGCCACACACAAATCTGTCATGTCCTGCTCCTGTATATTACAATCACTTTAAAAAAAACTGCTAGGCCTATCAAGGTACTGTAGTCCTCAAACTATCAGCCTCATGGTAGTTCCACTAAAATTAATTAGAGTGTATGAGGCTATCACAAAAACAGTAGTTTACAGCTTTTAAAGAACAAGGAATACAAAGAGAACATGTTTGTTACATGTTTGGTGTCTGGTAATAAAGGAGGAAATAATTATTTTTAAAATATGTGAGTAAGGATACTTCCATACAGATGGCTCCCAGCATACCAACGAAGCACAACGTATAGCCATTTCATCATTTCCTCCTTCAGTTTTTTCTTGGGTGGGTGGGAGGAAGTTTGGAAGCAATAAAGACTAAATAGTGGTGGAAGGACATGGGATGATCAGAAGTTAAAAACAATATCATCACAACTGAATAAGGAATAAGGAATAAGGAATAAGGAATAAGCAAATCAGAAGCAGAAGCAAATACAAAACAAAATTAGAGGTTTTAAAAAGTCTTACCTGTTACTTTATGAAGGTTAGGCTAGGGATAAAATAATGATGATATTCCCTGGCTTCTCAAATGCATGTAGTAACATTTAAGATATCCATTACAAATACTTAATACTCCAGATCCATAACACATATTTCAGTATCCTTTTCAAACAACCTTTATTTTAATTAAAGAGAGGCATCATCATCATCATGATTACAGAGAAAATTAGCTTCAAATCTCTTGATTTAGATTCCCCCCTTTCAGATTCATTTTCTTATAATATTTCTACAGTTCTTAAAAAAATTTTTTTTTACTTCAAGCAGAAAAAATAATTCACCCAAAGAGTTAGAGCAATACAGGTGCACACTGATCAATGAAATCCTATTTTCAGAATCTACTATCTTCCACTTATACTTAAGACCTTGTCTAAACAACATGAAATTGTGTGTTGATACTTTTAAATATCGGAAGAGTTGCCTGTCCCTTGTCTCTTCCACCCTATGAACCAGCAGTGGAATTTCCAAAGTTTTTGGTGCTGTGTCGTATACAACCCTCCCCCCCCGTGTACATCTGCACAGCTATTACAAGCCATTATCTTAAGCCTCTGTTCCCAGAACTGGAATCATAGAGCCAACTCATATGCTAAGAAACTATGGTCAGAAGCTAAATAACGGTCATTACAGAAAAATATATTTTAATTGTTCTGCTAAAGTGGTTTGTAAATGTTGTCAATAAGATAGTTGGTTACGTCTTGGGGAGGGAACAGAAAGATGTTTATTGCACTTCCCAGAGTGTTGTTTCCCTAACTAAAATTAAACACAACAGCATTTCCTAAGATCACAAAGGAAAGTCTACTTTGTATAGACAAGCAAATTTCACCAATTCACAGAGGTGAAAACAGGCACGAGAGTTCAGCATAATTGTGCAAGCCAGCAATTTGTAATGGAAAGCCAAAATACATCCTTCATATGAAAAGATATTCAAGGAAAAACACTGAAAAAATTCAACAGCATGATTTTATATCATAGAAGATCAGTATCACATTGTGACATTGCTGATTTTCTTCAACTGCAGATTTCAATCAAAGAACCCCCTAACCTTTGGCACCCCTTCTCTATTACTCTCCTGTTCAATCTTACATCTCCTTCCTTCCCTTTCTCTGTTTCCCCTATGTCAAGCTGTAAACTGTAAGCTCTGCAGAGCAGGGCCCTATCCAGTTGTCCTCTGTTAAATACAAAGCATATGTAAACAAACAAAAACAAACAGGAAATAAAAAAATTAATAACTAACATGAAAGTAAAGTTACATATAAGTTTTTCGTTCATATTTTGTGTCCAGGATTGCTGGTCTTTTCCTTTTCCACATTTCAATATTCTTATCATTCAACAGATGCCAGAGGAGATAAGAAATAACATATTAATCTCTCTGGTTACATGGATCTAAGGTATGAAGTACTTTTCCAGCTTGTGATTGCAACCTCAGCATTGGCATGAAGCAAAAAAGCAAGGACACATAGGAAAGTACGAGCAATACCATTTCTTAGCCTTTGGAATACTGTATAATGGAAGAACTTCAGGAACTTATGAAGTTTCTATTGCCTCCACCTACTCATTATTTCTCTACACTTAATCTGGTTTACTCCAAGCAGAGTCCATTTATGGAAGTGAATGTAACCTTAGTCAACCTTAGTCAACAATGACCTTCAAATATACTAGACCCATGTTGGCTTCAACAGGTCTGCTATAACTGGAAATAAAGCCAGATTTAGACCACTATGCTAAACAAAGTTAAATTGCATGTAAATATGCATAGCCTTGTTACTAAAAATCTTATTATGTTAGCGTGATTTCTAGTCCTGGCCTATAAACTGATGATACTCTGGTTTTTGTAGCTCCTGATAACACAGTGGATCCACTGAATGGATCCCAAGCAATGTAAGAACAATAAATGAAGCTATTTTGCGGGACTCTTGTGTAAGGAAGATTAAATTTTAATTTCTCTTTCTGAAGTACTGCTTTCATATATTTGGTCCATTCATACAAGCCATACACACAACATTGGTTTTTGTTTTCTGCTGCAAAGGTTATAAATAGTTTATTCCAGAGGTTGCTCAACTTTGTTGTAAAAGTCTTTTTCCTCCACGTAAAACAACCACTTGAGCCTTCTACAATGCAAAAAAGAAAGACATTTACTGCAAAAAGCTGGGAACAAGCAGTGGGAAAACAATGAAACTTGAAATGTCTTCTGGTCTAACAACTCACCCAGAAAAGGAGAAAAGAATAACTGGACAATTGTCTGTACTAAACAATGCTTCTATCTATACTGTTTTTCTGATTTTAGTGAAGGATAGGCATGATTTACAGTAAAATCTCATGTATCCTATGTATGCTGTTTATTCAGAAGCACGTCTGTTCAGTAGGATTTACACACCAAATTAGCACACACAGGATTAAACCTTTAGAGTAATGAATACATCTGCGCTAACAGTTTATTTCAAATTCAGTGTTTGAAAGACAGAATTATGAGGTTGGTAACAATTCAATAGCTAATACAGTAACTGCAATATTAGATCACTGTGGATTTTGACAGAAAACAGATAAAACAATTAGTATATCTTTCACACTAAGGAGTGAACAGATACTTTTGAAATAAACATTTTAATTGTTAGTTTTGATTTTTTTTTTTTGCAGTCCTACATTAAGAAGCAAGGGAATTCCATCACCACATTGGCACTGAAATCACATTTCAAAGAAGCAAGTGCAATGAGATTTCAAGATCAATGTTATCATATCTGGTAGTTTTCACCCACTGATGACCACATTCTTTAACATACAAATAATTTAACACAGTTCATCATTTCTCCCCTCCTAAATTCAATCCAAAATAGATGATCAAATTAGCTCACCAACAGGTAGAAGCAAGAACAAGTGGAAGTAGAAGCCAGATATCACAACCAGAGTGGCTGCAAGGCCCCCAAAGTCATATTTTAAAATCTAAAATAACAATGTACCCAGTATAAACAGCTTGCCGAAGTACTAGGTACAGTAACTGTGAAATCCAGAAAATGCAAGTGAAGAACATTGATACTGAAATTCCATTGCACTGCATTTTCAGCTGGTTTGCAAATAAAAGACTGCTGTGGCGTTTCAGTAAAAAAATACCTTCGTGAACTTACCTGGATCATCCAAAGGCATGTCAACAATTACTTGATCGCTGTATTTTCCATATAGTCCATTAGCACAAATAGCAACTATCTGAAGGACATAGCTTGTATTGGGCAGCAGGTTATTCAGAATGGCCCCCTGGAAGGATAGAAACCACCAACTATATTCATTGTTTTGTACCTTTCACAGACATCTAAATTATTTTTCTTGAAATGCTATATTCCTATGCACACTGAAGAGGAAATCCAACTGATAATGTGGGACCTGTTTTTAAGTGATTTTAAGGATCAGGATGCAAACTTTTCAACTTTTCTGCTGTGAGTATTGTTATGTAAAAACCAATTTAATAACAACTGAATGTAAGCCTTTTAATATATATATATCATAACTGGTACACAGTGTTCCACACAGGCAGTCCATTGCACTGCTGAGAAAGCTGTGTACATCTATCCCATTACAGTTATGCTTTTCCATTATTAGCTGAAAATGAAAAGCACCAACATAGCTAACAAGTTAGCAGAACCTGTGGGTATAACAGAGAAGTCGAGAGCCAGATGTGCCCTGTCTGCTTGCCCTCTCTTGTTTTTTCTGTGCAACCCTCTCTTGATACACTAATTGCTACTTTCAGGCTTCACTTCCTTCTCCTTCCCCAAAATTAATGTCACAGTTGCTCTCATTTATTAGAGGTAGAACACGGGGTCTTCCCTCTAATACCTTACTAGCATATCTTTGTGCACAGAGGTAGTATTAGGAGCTTCTATAATCAGGTTCAGGGTTCTTTTCACCTACACTATCTCTGAATAGATTTCTTAAAAAATATGTTTCTAATATCTGAGTAAATCAACTATTTTTCCTCCAGAATTAGTACTAGGGGTTCTTTTCACCTACACTATCTCTGAATGGAGTTCTTAAAAAAATGTAATGTTTCTAATCTCTGAGTAAATCACAGTTAAGAAGATTCTAGGGCTATACTACATTTCCCTTAATATGGGAAGCCAAGCAAGTAAGTAAGCAAACAAGGTGTCTGTGGAACAACTATTTTTTCCTCCAGAATTAGTACTAGAATCTTTCATACTTCTGGGTAAAATGGAAAACAATGGGTGCCAGCGTTTTAACCACTGCGCCACGAGGAGTAACTATTGGAAAACAATGGGTGTGAATTCTTCTTCATTACATTTGCTTCTTCTTTTCTTGCTTCCAGGTTCTAAATATTAGAATGCATGTTTCAATTCCTGCTTGGGAACGGTGATAAAACTCTATGATGATATACAAATAGCCACTAAAATGCCTCTTCCCAAACAATTATAAATAGTCCTGTGGCTCCAAAAGGGACAATACATTCTGCACAATTATAATAAAGGTAATACAATTGATGATAAAGTTGCTTGTTATATTGTGCTCATGTTGTGCCACAAAAAATGAATCCATGTCAAGAATATCAAACTCAATTTAAGTGTTTGTATAAGTGCTTCTTTTCATGTGTCTATTCCATCCATATATAAAATAGGAAATGGACCAGTCTTACTTGAACAGCAGAAGGGGATATGTCCATCTCTGCCGCTGATTTTCTCCACTTAGGGCTCACTTCTAGTATCACAGCTGATAAGAACAAAAATGTCAAGAGCAAACAAATGTGAAGAAGTAAGGGGCAGAAGTGTGGATGGTTCAGTAATGGTTTCTGGTTGGACTCTTGCAGTACCTTCCAGCTCTGTACTTCTGTGGTCCTGTGTATTCTCTTTGATTGGCCTAAATCACATTCCCCTTTTTACATACAAATGGGATGGACACATGAATGATGGTCTAATTTGTCCCAGAGATGGGTATAAGAGGATGCAGTGTGCTGATTAGATAAATAGCACATCAACAACTAAAGCTGTAATTTGAATAAAATGCTCACCACAGTTGCAGTCTTTTTACCACTTTCATTATATGATCACCTTTAAATGATGAAAAACTTGCATGAGTGCAACTACTTCTATGGCTAAGAAAAGCTTTTAAAAAACATGTAAACATTTCAAAGAGAGTACAGTACAGGTAACATGACAGCAATATTCTCATTTCTGCCACCAACAGTGAGGAAGTTCAGCTCCTCACAATTTGTGATTTGTTATCCCTGCATTTGTAGAAAACTTTTAAAATGGTCAGTTACCAAGTCCTGATACCCATCCGTTAGGAACTCATGCTTTGTCTCATCTTCTCCCTCTAACTGTTGGTAAAACACAGCATATCTCTCAATCATTGTGTCATAGACAAGTCGTGGCCTTTCCCAAGTAACCAGAAGGCTGGTATAGTTCTTTGGATCAGCTTGAACATTTTCTGGTTCTAAGCTGCAAACTTAAAAAAACAAAAAGAAAGAAAGAAGACAAAAAGGATAGTCATCATAGGTTGAAAAATATAAGGGATGAGTCAGAAGAGAAATCTCACAGCATATCCCTTTAGTAACCCCTACCCCCCGCCCGCTACACAAAGGATGGACTATCATCAATGCTGGATCAGATGCCAGCCTTTTCTTCAACACCAGAGAGGTGAATGCCTTTCATATTCCTCACTCCTAAGGTTTGTCTACTTGAGCATTCATTTTTGAAAGTATTTCACTGTTGTGATTGAGTCTCTCCGCTCTTTGACTGTCTTGTTAATTAAAGCAAAGCAAAAAAGCTGTTGTGGTCCAGTACAAAACTGCTCCTGGGAGGTGAGGGTGATTATTTTTTCTTCTGTCTTCATATGAGGGGATTCAAGGAATAAGTGGCATACACAGCTGCGTTTTTGCTTCAAATGTGTGGAAGCCTTTGTGTCTCCTGGAGCTTGAAAATAGTTCCATCTCTCTGAAAAATACATGTCTGTTTCCTCCATAAGATCTTGATTGTTTTCTTCAAACTGTCTAAGACAGGGTTGAGAAAATCTATGGCTCTTCAGTTGTTGAGACACTAGATTTCCTACTGTATTTCAGCTACTCTGGCCAATGATGAAGAATAATGGGAACAGCTATATTTTGATAACTAGAAGGCCACAGGATGGCTGCCATGTTCAAGTAGCTTATAGCCACTTTTACCCAACAGCAGAGATATTGCTCTTAAATTACAACTCTTGTTATCTAATAATTGTTATATAATAATACAATATGGAATCTCTGATTTTCAACCTATTACCTGAGAACAAAAGCAAATGAACACCTCTGTGGTGGCATGGTGAAAATCAGTGGTTTTCCACAGGGGAGATGTTTGCGCAGAAATGGATTGCCATTAGGTGGGGCCTCTATCTCAGTGAATATGAAGTGAGAAGATGCAGCCAAATTAAAAAAAAATTGGTCTTAATGTAGACAAAATTTTAAAATCAATCTACAAAATAGTTACCAGTGTGGTCAATCTGCTTCCCCTTAGTAGAAGTAGTTAATTTCAGTTGTTCTTTTTCTTTTTCATTAAGAAATTACCTTGTGAACACAAGAGGGCACTCAAGGCTCAATATTGTTTTCCAACATTAAACTTCTGCAATATACAAAAATTTCAGAGACCAACTCCCCTGTTATAGCAAGGTAATAACAAATAAAGATTTAATGAAACAATCTTATTTAACTCATGACCAACTTTAAACCCTAAACCTATCACAGTCTCAGTTTCCATTTATTAGATGAGGGGTTACATACACATTTATTAAATTTAGCAGTTACAATGATGCCCTGAAGTGTATCCATTGGGGGAAACAAAATTGTTCAGTTGTGTTATATTGAACCAATAATGTTTAATAGCTGAAACTACAGCAGATGGAATGAGCTCACCGTTCTCAATAAAAAAAGGAAGATTCAGTGTTTTCTACTCATAAAGATTCAGAGGAAAAAGACTTTCATGGTTTAGGCCACAACCCAATACATATTTACCTGCAAGCAGGTCCCACTGAACTCTTGAGATTTTCATATGAGTAGACATATTAAGGACTGTACTCTTAGTATAGCTTCATTTTGGAGAATATTGAAATTGTAATTATGACCTTGCAACACTGATACTGATGCTGTCGTGTTGTAACCCGTATTGGAACAAATGAGGGTTGCAACAGAGAAGTGCTCAGTAGTAGTGATGGGCATAAACAAGAAAACTGGTGGTTCATGATGGTTCATCAATAGTCATGTACCACAAACCACCACAAATCCGCAGAAAAACAAACTGGCTCGTGGTTTATTTTTCCAGTTCGTGGGTGGGGGAAACTACCTGCTCCTGCCCTCCACTTCCCCTGTTGCTTACCTGTCCCCTTATTACTGCCTCCACTGCTGCCATCTTCAGAGGCAGGAAATCCAGACACCTAGCTCTTTTATGCCAATGAAACTCAAAGCATGTGCCCACCTATCAGCTGGACAGCAGGCACATGCACAGAGGCAGCGGGCCCAGCTTCCCAAAGCAGGTAGGGAGGTGATGGGGCAGTGGGAAGGGGGTGGGCGAGCATCCTGTTTTGCTGAGGCAAAACTAAGCATGGGGGAGTTCAGCACTTCTACAACCTTCTCACATGAATAAGGTGGGGATTTGCTGATCAGATAGCCCAGTGAGCACCTGGCTGCAGAGGATTTCAATCCCCTGCTGTACGTTGTAGAATTCAAAACAGACTGGGTGGCTCTGGGCAAGCTGTATGGTCCCAGAGCATGCCTCATAAGAAGGGACTAGTAAACTACTTCATAGTACTTTATGTCTAGGAAACTTTAGAAAATGTTGCTGTACGTCAGAATTGACTTGATGACATGTAATTAAATTATTCAATTACAACTGACAATCCCCAACTCTCTGAGTATCTCACTGTAAATTTGCAATGCTGAAATCAAACAAATTGGTGGTTTATTAAATGTATTATTCTTCTGCTGCTGTTTTTAAAAAGATTTAATCTGCTTGCTTTTGCCTTGGAAATAAAGCACCATACCCAGTACAATAAAGTATAAGCAGTAATACTCTAATAATTTTAAAGCACATGAATCCTACCTAAGGTTTTATGCCTACGTACCTGAGCATTAAACACCACATATATCAAACACATAGTTGAAACTAACCTGTAAGTAAAATAAATCTGTCTCCACTCCCTACCCTCAAATATTTCCATGCTCAAATTCTAATTTGATTATTTTCTCTCTCTCAAGGGAAAGAATTACAGGAACATGTTAAATTGTAGATCACATACTATATTAAGCAAGGTCCAAATCAACTATCAATGCAATCCTAGGTATGAAACGGTTTACCTTTAAAGTTGTGACCTGAATCACAATGGATTGTCAAATTGTTGCAGAATCATAGTGCTCCCAGGCTTTGGAATGCACTGTCTCAGAAGCCAGGTTGGACCCCTCCCTCTTGTCCTTCCATTGTCAGGAAGGCTTTTAAGCAATAAGGTGGAAGGTGGTCCTGGGAATGCATATTTGGGAAATTTAAATAATTTAATATGTTTTTTAAAATGGTTTTTAATTTTAATGTTTAATTGTGTTTTAATATAGTTTTGTATAGTATTTTGAACCTGTTATTATTGTTCAGTTTTAATTGTTGTGAACTGCCTTGGATTCCCCCCCCCCCATGGGGAGAAATGAGGCAAGCAAGCAAGCAAGCAAGCAAGCAAGCAAGCAAGCAAACAAACAAACAAACAAACAGAGTTCCTGTCTCATTAATCCAAGATTTCCTATGAGCACCTGAACTTCTAGACTTGAAAGGATTTGTTCTTCCTCTTGTTAACAGAGAAAGGTCTGCACAAACAAAACCATGAAGGATGAATGAGATAGTGTTGTCTGGGGAAGGTGGACACTGTTGTATCTTAGCGTATAACCCCTCCTTCGCCACATTTCTTTGAACTGTCTGAAGCAAAATTTAAGGAAAGAGGCTGGGAGAGGTATATGATATCCCTTAATTAGGAGTGCATGAATTTCACACAAGAGGAGACATAAAAATATAATCTTGGAGATTACAGAAAAGGAGGGAAGCAAGAAACACAGAGTATCAATCACATAGTACGAATAAAGTGTTTAGCTTCTGTATCTTATTAATTCTAATATACAGAAATTGTGGCAATAAACTGAGGAGCACTAACAGGTCCATCTCTCTGCTCATTTCTATGTAAGATTCTGCTGGGGAGTTGATGTAAAAAGTCATGCTACAATGGGTTGGATATCCATAAATGCTTAAATCAAAAGGGTATTTCTCCCCAGTTATTTAAAATTCTCAAGCATCTCTGTCAGCCTCCTACTTTTTAGCTTAATGCTTTCCGCCTAGAAATGAATAGTCCAAACAGCTTTTTGAAGGCCAGAAACAATGCAGAGGATGATAGCAACCCCAAATGGAAATGCAGCCAAGGGACGAAACTAAGGAAGAAAGCCAAGCAGCTGTGCCGAGCACCTTTGGACAAAGCACCATGCCAACAGCTAGGACAACATCAGGAAATACAACAGTACAGCGGTGGGATCTACAGTACAGAAGAATCTAAACAAACTAAAACAAAACTTTTCATGTAATATGTTCAAACCAAAGTAAAAAGTAAAATGTTTTCAGTAACTGAAAATTCAAGGTTGAGCTGTAATGTGCTGAAATCGAGAACTATAACACATTTTTTTCCATTTCATATATAACCTCATCCTTAGTTTACCAAGTTCAATTACTACTGTTCATGACTGTATTAAAATATTTATTTATTATGTTCTCTTAATCTAATTGATTAATCATTAGCTAACAGTTAAACTAAACAGAAATTCTTAATCTAATTGATTAATCATTAGCTAAACAGAAACGTTAGTAGAAATGTCCTTGAATAACTCCTTGAATGATTCATTCATCTAAGTATTGTTTCTGAGCACAGGAGTGGGGTACCCATGCTGCCAAACAGTAAAAATTATAGAAATATCACCACATTTTAAATATATTTTTGAGAAAAAAAGCCAGTGTTCTCCAATTGGTAAAATTAAGACCCAGTTCACAGGGGGTGAGTTGTTGTTTGCATAATTATGTTGTAAACCATCCAGAGAGTGCTCCAAGCACTATAGGGAGGTACAGTATATAAGTTGAAATAACAATTGTAATACCAACTGTTGCAGAACTTATCAATTAAATCAGCAATGGGTACCTTGTTGCCCTTCATCTGTTGCTAATCTGTAGCCCCTGGCATACCTCACCGTTGGCTATGCTAGTTGGGACTGATGGGAGCTGTAGTCTAAGAACATCTGGAGGTCCACATACTTCCATCCCTTGTACTAAAGGAAGAATGTTGATCCTACTCCACTGGAAGAGCTTCACTTAATGATATGTGCTTCAACAAACATCCGATGTGACCAATAAAATCTATTTTTATTTCCCCTTGCTACCATGTCTGTACAGTTATTGTATGATGCTCCAGGAAAGGCGCCTGATCGTAGAGATATATATTCAAAGTTTTTATTATTCATGTTCTAGCCAGCAGATACATGACATTTATTTTGCAATTTTTACTTGAGATGTGTATTATCCAATTGAATTTTAAAATCAAATGATTAAATTATTTTTCTCATTGATGAACTGCTGGATAGCTCAGTGGTTTAGGTCTGTGGAGCCAGAGGCTGGAAGTTCAGTTTCCTACTATATGTCCTTCATAGGGATTGGACTTGAAGATCTTCCAGCTCTGCAGTTCTAAGATGATGATGGTAATGATTATGTCTTAGTAAGCTGGAAGTTATATGTTTGTAAAAGCAGGCATTTAAGCACCTACCCCTAGCTGGACAACCAGCTACTCACTTACATTGTTGCTCGATATGTGTACTTTCTTCCTAAATGCAGCTACCACAACTGCATGGATGTAGTAGCCCCAGTCTGAAAATAGGCAATCACACTGATCATATTTTCCGAATTTGGCAAAGCCCTCCAACTGGCTTTTACTCTATTCAAAAAGCTGAGTAGAATGATTACTGGTACAGTGGTGCCTCGCTTAGCGATTGCTCCACTGAGTGATGAAATCGCTTTGCGATGGACTTTTGGCCATCGTTGGAGTGATCACTTAGCAATGTCCTCTATGGCTAAAATTTGCTTTGCGATGATCGCGGGGAAGCGATCGGCGGTTCCAAAATGGCTGCCGCAAAAAAAATGGCCACTGCTGTTTTGCCTCGCTGTAGAGGCACCCAAAATGGTCACCGCTATGGAGGAATTTTGCTTTAAGGTAAGTTTTTAGCCCATAGGAAAGTATTAAATGCGTTTTAATATGTTCCTATGGGCTTTTTAAAATCGCTTAGCGATGAAATCACTTAGCGATGTTTTTTCCGGAATGGATTAACATTGCTAAGTGAGGCACCACTGTATCCTGTTAGTTCCGTGCCTGCGCGCATTTAGATCAGAAATGGTATTTCACTTCTAGAAGCAATTCTTTGTGGTTAAAAATCAGGGTCAAATCTGTTAAATCAGCAAATCCAAATAAGCGATAAATACCTGCTTCATGAATTTCTTCCTGCCCAGTATATGAGGAAAACACTTGGCCAGAAAACTTATGTTGCTGCTCTCTAAAATTATTTTGCAGATAGTCCATTAGCATTACATAACCAGACTGCTGCATGGTGAGGACGTCACAAAATACTGACAGCTGGAAAAAAGCAGTAAATGCAATGAGACAGAGAACTTTATTTACAAATTCATGTTAAAAAAGGAGGAATTTTCAAGGTGATGAACAAACTTCACACAACTCCATTACAATAACAAAATTCATGCAAAACACTACATTTATTAAATTAATTTAGTAAATTATTTTAACATCACCTTCTATTTCAAGAAAAGTAAAGACTTTGCTTTTATCCCCTGTGCAGACAGAACATCCACTTGCTACCTCCATGGTCATTCTGTCTGATTCCAGATGTTTTTCCCATAACAAATCCTATCACTGTAGAAGTTGCTAGAAATACGGTGGAATGCACCTATCTAGTATTATTCAAGAGGAGAATGCTACCTCATTCTATTTTAGCCTTTAATGACTTGTTTACAGTGGAACACACATACACACAGAGAGCTCCATTCTTTTTCCTAGTAAGCCGAAATTAAACGGCAGTTTCCAAACTGAAACGAAAGGAGAAGCTGAGTTTTAAATCCTAACAGATGTGCCAAGGTTGACATCAAATATTTTGCTATTAGAGCATGTAAACTGGATTTTCCAAAACATTCTCTACCCCACTTTTGTAAGAAAAATGTTCAGGGGAGTAGATTGCAAGCAGAGCTACAGCTCTCTAATTTCCAGGGACAAGCTTGTGCAACCCCAGACCTCTGGAGATTGCCCATTTCTGCCATTCATATTGGTGCTAAAGACATTATTTGAAAACTGAATACTCGCTTGGGATAAACCAGGATAACACAGCCCCCACCCCGTCTGCATACACACACTTAAGCACATTAAGTACATACAATTTACTCTGTATTATTTAGAAATCTACACTGTGGCCCAAAGTCTAGAAATAGATATGCTTTATGTGCATATTTAAATTATCTGCTACATTACTATGGTGAAACAGTTGTGTTATGCACAAAGTAGAAATAACTAATTGTTCAACAGAATAAAAATCACCTGGTTTTCTGAAATGTTAACAGTGTCCTTAAATACAATCCATTCAACTGTTTCTGAGCAAGGGGGTGTTGATAAAGATCCATTGTAAGTGTAATATTTGTCTGTTGAATTTGGCAAAAGATTTAACAAGATGAAGGGCTCCAGTTCACTTTTTTTCCCTGCAAAATATAGATTGTAAGAAAACAGCAACAACATTCCTAAAATGAGGCTCCAAAAATAAAGATGGATTATTAACTATTTATTTCAGAATTTAGAAGTTTCCTTCTATGGAAAACCTATACAAGATAGCTCATATAAAAACATATAAAACTCCAAAAGCACTGAAGTAGTAAAATAGCAACCATTAAAAACAATACACACCACTCTAGATATTGATTAAAAGCATCTTGAAATAAAGAGAAAATTAGTTTTGCATAAACCAATAAAGTAAGAACTATACAAAAGCTAGATACGGGGCCACAACAAAAAGGCTCTGACCTCAGTGTCTGATAATCTGATAGATCGTAATGGCAAGACTGTTAGCAAGGCTTGTTGACTGTTAGAGTGGTCAATTGACCAGATGGATGGGATATATATAAATAAATAAAGGCCTCCCTCATTCCAAGAATAGTGTCAGAGTTCTGAATTGTTCCCTTCAGAATGCAGTTCATTGCTTTAAAACAATTTGCCACTCATTTTTGAACATCAGAGACAGATAAATGCTAAACAGAGCCTTCATATGGAGAGGTCATGTGTTTCTTAATATGAACCAACTAGGACTCTACTTTTATCCTGTTCATGGGTTCCCTGAAGCAGAGAACTGGCTTCCACTGGAAAGGGATGCTGGGCTAGATAAATGTTTGGTCTAATCCAACATGACACTTTAATATAGTGATTGGTCTTAACACTTATATTGTTAATCATGCCGTCCAGCTTTTACATTATTTTAATTATTATTACTTTAAAATGTTGGTTGTTTGTGCTTATTTTGATTTTATAATTATTATGTTTATTGCTTTGAATTGTTCATGTTTAATATGTAAACCACCCAGAGTGGCCTTGGCAGCCGGGTGGACAGTATAGAAGTCAAATAAAACAAACAAACAAACAATAACAGCTGCGGCAGAAGTCCCCTTGTTTACCCAGTAAGAGTAAACAAGGGGACTTCTATAAAAGGGCTCCTAATACATTAGGGCATCAGGACAAGGTAAAACCTTGAGCTACAAGGTAAAACCTTGTTTGTTAGAAGAGGAACCACAGCAGGAACAGGGGATATTCAGTACAGGTATTCTCTTATTAAGTGGGTATAATATAATTAGGCCATCTGTTTCACTATGATGCTGCACCTCCTGTAAATTAATCATTAGCACAAACATACTTTCTTTCCACATACACTTAGTTTAATTATGCTGAACACATCTCTTTGTATCAGGAGTCTTCACAATATTTCCACTTGTGTAAAATATAGCCATATTTTGTTAACTTTTTGGCTCCTTCCCACACCATCACAGTGACTACCACTCATGCACTGTAACAAGTTTACTGGCTTATTAAACAGTGAGGTACATGAAGAGCATACTGGTAGATGTAGCTTGTCTAATCCTACTTTGCTCCTCCCTTTGGAGAAAAGGTAAACAAACCAGGAAACCACAATGAAGCATAACTCCCCATTACATCTGTGGACCCAGAAACATAGTTAATTGCTACAAAAAATGTCAGGACTTATCAGCCAATTACAAACTTAGGTTTAAAGATTGCTTCCACTCTTGGCTTGTTCAGGACCAATGAAGTACAGTTCCAGATATGGCTATAATTTAAGTTATGCTTAAACTGAAGTGGCTTATTAACTGTGAAGAGAGATTTTCACATTGCACCATTAACTTACCAAAGCGGCTAACACTGGCCACCCCATCTATAATTGCGTTGTAGTTTGCATTATCTTCTAGGCCAATCTGTTGATGAAATATTGTATGATTGATTCTTATGCAGAGTTCAGCGTTTGATTAGTTTGTTAGTTATAAAGGAAACATGTATTAGCATTTTGCATACACACAAACATCCCATGCCAAAACACATTGCAGTGAATAAGGGTCAATTTTCTCATGCAAAATTAAATAAGAATAACACATGCTTTTCCAATAACTTCTTTCTAGCAGATGAAATTGGTGGAATTTCACAATTAAGATTATGCAATATGTGTAAACAATAATTACCTCAAATAAGATTGATAAAGCTCTTAATTTCCCATTTCCTTCAATTGCCTTATCTATATCCTCAAACTGATTTGTATCATAACAGTGGATTTGCATCTGTAAATACAGTAGTATTTCAGGATGATTTTTTAAAACAAACATGTACATATAAACAAGTCTTTGAAAAGAATTTTCCAGGAACATATTTATATTAGTTTGCATGTTTATTTTTAAAGAAGAACTTCTGAAATCCCAACTGCTGCCTCATTCCAAGTAACCTAATATTTGCTTGAAAACATACTGCACATGTCCTGGACTGAGCAAGGTGCTATTATCAAATTCTGTGAAATGCAATTAGAAATCTGCAGATAGCAGAACACAACCTTAATGCTTATCAGAGGTAGTCTACTTTTATAGTCTAAAAAAGTAAAGTTCCACATTCACGTCAAAAAACATGCATGTGTGTGCTGCCAGAGATTCTATCTCACATTTAAGAACCGCTACAGGCTTATTAAAAAGGGGCACATAATAAATCCAAATAAAATGGCAAGACACACTCTGAACAGCTCTGAATTATGAAAAATGAGGGGGCAGTATTTTGTGTTTGCAACACGCACAGAACCACTTGTCAGTTACTTCCAAGGCCCTTTGAGTATCACTGGCCAGGTTGACACTCTGTTCCCAGGTTTAGAGACAAGTATTTGTAATATTTATGCTTACTGTTGAAGAAGAAGATTTACAAGTCTCTGAAATAAATCATGATGTCACAGGCATGCTCTAAAGGCATAGTTGGTAGCAAGCACATTACTTTGGCTAGCTACCAAGGCCAACAAAAGATTTGTGTATATTTGTTTCCTTCATGGATGTAGTGAATGGGAAACATCACATACACATACTTCAAAGTTTATTGCACAGAAATATAATTTAGATCTGAGTATATTATATATTTTAAAGCAAAGTATGCATCACATTTTAATTGACTTCTAAATAAAGTAGAAGCTATTTGAACTTTCCTGCGAATGTGAGTGAAATCTTTCTTCAATAAGTGAACATGAAATAACCTCTACCCTTAATCTATCAAGTACACAGATAAACAAAAAAACTGACTTGTTCTCCTAGACTGAGTTATCATTAGAAAAATAACATTTACAAATGACTTGGAATAATGGAGTATCTGAACAGAAAGACTGGGCAGGAAAGGATCAAAACGTTTCAAGAAGCAGCTTCATAAATTCCTAACTTCTTAGAGATCAAAGAAACATCTTCTTAATTTTCTATTGTAACTCTCCAAGCTAAAAAGCATGCAAATAGGCACATAGAGCTTTCCTGCCCTCAAAGCAAGAGAGCAGCTTATGCAAATGCATTGCAAAAGTGATGGTGTTTTTTTTTTTAAAAAAAATATATTAAAATAAAAATACAAAAAAGAGAAAAAACATACCTTTAAAAAATTTAATAACACAAAATCACATAAACAATAATACATAATATGCTCCCCCTGCTGGGACGAAAAAATTAATAACACAAAATCAACTAAAAAATAATGCGTAATATGCTCCCCCTGCTGGGACCTTTTGGAGCTATAACCAGTTTTTCCTCCATTTACTGAGTCCCATTTTCCTTCTAAAACTTTTTTTTAAGGAGGAAAAGCAAGAATGATGTTGTCCCTTCCATAGAAATGGAAGCTCACTGGCATTTTGCTGCCTCAGTCCAAAGAGCAACTGAAGTTCATACTGATCCAAACCAGTCAATTAATTGTGGTGTCTGAAGCTGAAAATTTCACAAACACCACTCCCCTTTCCTGACAGGAGAACATCAATCATAAAAAAGATCAATAATTTGCTTCCCCTCCATGGAATTCAAAACCTTCTTCCTGAGGGGGCTGTTTCACTCCATCTAGGGCTGACCACAAAACTTCATGTGTGTATCCTGTTCTGTTTCAAAGGGAAGATATAAGCATATTGCCTGCGCTTCTTTGTTTGAAGAATTGGGACTTGATGTGCACACAAGCTGCCTAGAGTGGTCTTAACCGACCAGATAGGTGGGATATTAAATCAATCAATCAATCAATCAATCAATCAATCAATCAATCAACAATCAATCAATCAATCAATCAATCAACAAACAAACAAACAAACAAACAACAACAACAACAACAATAATAACAACAACAACAACAACAACAACAACAACAACAACAACAACAACAGCTTCCTCAGCTGTAACTTTAAAACCACACCTCCAGTGCAGCCTGCATCTTTCTTAACTGACATCTAAGAAATGTGCCTGGCAAAATATATGAACTTTGTGGATTCTAAGTTCTTTCCACTAATGACAAGACACCCCTGCAACCCTGATAAAGTGGGTCCTGATCCATGAAAGCTAGCAGATAGTATGCTTTCTTTAGCGGTCTATAGCTATTGCCCATTCCTGCATTTGTATCATGTAAAGATCTGATGGCTCTCTTTTATTTCAAAAAAATGATGAGCATCTGCTTTCAGCTGACAAAGTTTGAATAAGTAAATCTGTATGCAGATAATTTACAGATATGATTAGTTATTACCCTAAATAGTTACTATACATGTTGACTGCAACTGTACACTTCAAAAATACAAATATAGTTCCAATATTTAATATCTTTGTTACCTCAAGAGGATATTTTTGGCCATCAATGCTATGTTCGGATCCATCTTGAGATATATTACATTTTCCCCAGTGAAAGGTTATCCTGCTTGCTTTAAATATAGCTTCTAAGCCTCCTCCAGTCACAAAGTATTCATTTGTCAACTTAATTTCCACTACAGAGGGGGGAAAGGAGTTGTTATTCACCATGCTTAAGATAAAAGAAACAAAAGCCACTCTATGATTCAAACATATGTGGAAGCAGATACGAGCCATTTCTTTCAGCCAGGGAGTCAATTAGGCAGTCAGGAAGGGAAGGTAACAGAGAAAAGCTGGTGTACAACCAGGCAACTGACTTTGTAAGAGTTTGTGCTGAAGTAACTGTTTAGCAGATTACGTATAATTGTTTCTTGCCAGATAAGGAGAATTTCTTGTAACTTCTTGCAGGGCTTAATTGAAAGAATATAAAACATTGTGTTGACATCAGAAACAAGTTAGTTTAACTTTATTCCCAGTGAAGTCAATGGGACATAAGTCATGGCTAACATGTCCCACTGAATTCAAAGGTATCCAGTTCAACTAACTCAGCCTGGATCCAGCTCAATAAAACTTGCAGATGGATCATGTCATGGATTATAGTATTATAGCATCTTCAGGAAATAGGTAGGGCATAGGACGCCTAGTGCTTGCTACAATGCAAGATTATTTTACTGCTACTGACAAGCAAGTATTGCCAGAGCCCCTTGAGATGAGGCTCATAGAATCAGTAATGATTTCATTTTCACCTTCTCTCTCCACACTCTGTAAAATACAGTACTCTTGTGCAGTCTTCAGGGACTTCTCTGGCAAACTGGGCTAGCTCTTTTGGAGTCAGTATGAGTGCAAACACTGGGTTTTACTGACTTTAGCTAATAGTTATGGACCTGCTTAAGCTACACTCTTCTTTTTTTTACATTACATAAAACAGAAGAAACCTATGTATAGCCAAAAAGCAACCCATTTAATGAATAATTGATTTGGTATTTGGTGATAGAAACTTAAGGTGTAGGTACCTCAGATGGATTGGGAACATAATAGGGCACAAACGTTAAGTGTCCGATTTCCCTATGCTCTGCTCCTGATTCAGACTAAACTTAATTCAAAGCAAAGACAAAGCAGGAGACAGTCACAGTGATCGCTCCTCTCTTGAACTCTAAACCCCGTGTATACGTGAGGGGTGGTTCCATAATGATTTCCAAAACACCAGTTGTCTTTACTAATACTCCTTGAACACACTAACTGCATAGTTGTGAAAACAGCAGCACAATGTCAATGATATGTGTTATTAACAGTCATAATTTATAATTATTATGTGGAAAATGTTTAAATCTTCATTTTCCTAATCATTATGTGGTACTGGATTACAGTAATTCATGCGACTTCCCAGACCATCCCATGTGACTCTTCTTCTTTTGAGTCATCTTGACTTGAGACTGGATTGCAATTACCAGCAACCTTCCCCACGGCTACAAAAATCTTAAATTCAAGAGGTTAAAAAGAGAGAGAAAAGGAAAGGAAGCAAGAGATCTAAAGTCTACAAATGCTCATTTTCTCCATGCAAAATAAGCTCACCTTTATGAATACCAAAATAAATGAAAACAAGAAATATGAATTTTGTACCTGTTTTGCCAGTGTTGTAGATTAAAGTATCTTCTGATGTTTCTTTTCCCCAGTCTTGGAATTTCAGTTCCTTCAGATTTACATTTACTTGAGTTAGATCTTCATCAATATTAATAGGCGACTGTTTGGCACCATTGCATGCAGGGTATTTTTTCCCCCAACTTGTTTGATTTAATGCTCCTAAACACCAGAAAGAAAAGAAGGGGTGTGCATGGAAATAATCTAAATAAACATATACATTTCATTTTATAAGAAAAGAAAAAAATTATACAATGTAACACCTATTAATGATTTTATCCACGAAAACCTACTTTTCTTAAAGTATGCCTTCCACATAAAGCTGATACAAATGTTTTTTTATGAAGTTGCACCACTCAGAACTGATGACATATAGGAATGTTCTGTCGCATCAAAAACGTCATCATTAAACAAAGCTAGAGTATCAAGGAGAAAGTGTCAATATTGGCTTCAGCCTAGTCATCTTCTTGACATTCTAATTCCACGTGCGCTTATATCTGAGGACCATGACCTTTCTCAGCCATGATTTCTAAGGTACTGCCACTTCGGCGTTATTGGTTTACATTCTGAATGAGCAAACCATTTTGGAAGACAAGCAGCACAGCAACAGGTTGAAAGGGTAGAGCATATTGCTTCTTTCCTTTGTCAAGCAAAAACCTCTTTTCCAGCCTTTTGTCCATTGCCCTTCAGTAGCTGAAACACCCTAAGATGCTTTCCAAATTGAGAGTTGCTGTGTTGTGGTGGTTACAGGCCTGGGCTGGAACTTGGAAAAAGTTGGCTTCTATTCTCCAGTGAGCCATGAAGCTCAATGACTGGCCGTCAGTCAGTCACTTTTTCTCAACTTGGCTTACCCCACAGGCTTGTTGTGAAGATAAAGTAGGGAGGACAATCTATAAACGCCATCATTCGCGTAGTTCTGATGAGCCATGGGAGGAACTGTGTCAAAGCCACTACCTCTGCAGTGGCAGCATCCATAGCAACAGCAAGAAAAAGAACAGTCCATACTCCAGATTGATTTTGAGAAGGAAAAAGATGCTGTTCTGTCGGACTCAGGTTAGGATATGGGATGGGATGGCTTTGTTACTCTAGGCCAGCGATGGTGAACCTATGGCACACGTGCCACAGGTGGCACATGGAGCCCTTTCTGCCGGCACGCAAGCCATAAGTCGCAGGATCGCTACTCCCCTCTCCCCCTGCAGCCAAACCTGAGCAGGCAGCTGCAACCGCAGTGCTGGTGCCAAGACAGGCCGTGGGTCAGGTTCCAGAATAGCTGGTACTGGCAGTGGATCCGGAGTGAGGTCTCGAGGCACCTCCATGCCTGAGATTTTCCCTTCCACTGCCACTTCCGGTTCCACTGCCACCCCGTTTTTTCTTTTCCTCCAGTTTGGGCACTCGAGCACAAAAAGGCTCGCCACCACTGCTCTAGGCTGTTCTACCTAGCTTTCTACATGCCTTTCCCTTTATAATCTTTACAATTTATGACATTATTATTGGCCCACACCTCAGACGATGGTTTGTTACCTTGTCTCTAATTCTAGCAGTTTTTCCTTATTAAAGTAGAATATGCCAGTTTCTCAGGTGATACATGTGGCTCCGACCTTGTTTCATTGTTGTTTCGGACAACATGTATTCAGTCAATAGTGACCAGGACCATGATCCTATTAGTTTTTACTGCATGAGTCAGGACAATAGCACTAGCAGTTCTTGCTGTCTGCAGGCTGTTTAGGCATGGAGAGCCACCAAATCATGCACATTGTGCTGTGTGATTGCCTTCTCTGCTCTACAATTCTAACAGAATACCTTGTCTTGGTATCTTCCCCTTAGAACCTGGGTGAGGCTTTGGAAAATGGGGTTTGTGCAATGTCCTGGCTGAGTCACACGTACTCTGCTCAGCTAATTAGGAGTACATTTACATCTGGACCCTCTCTGTTCAGGGAGCAAGCAATCCTTCAGGGGACCTTGTTTCTGACATACCCAATCAAAGTTAACAATCACCAGCCCAACAAGAGATCCATATTATCCCCATCACAAAGACCTTGCTGAAGACTGAAGTATAAAAAGTACTGTGGCACCTTAAAGGCTATCAAATTTAATTCAATGTGGGTTTTTGTGCAGTATCTTTTGAGTGCTTCATTTAGTCACTGGTTTATATAGAGAGTACAAATGGTTGTGAGGCTGTGGACCAAGTGAAGAAGAGATACAGGTACATGTAGGCATCCTTCAGTCTTGAGAGACTATGGTAACGTGCTCTGAATAGAGGTCTTTGAACAGCGTCTAGTGTGGCTGAGAAGGCCAATTTGGGAGTGACAATCCCTTCCACACTGAAGACAAATACAATCCGTCCCCTATCCAGCTCCCTGATTTTGCTGGTTTTGGGTCTGCCTCTTTGCCTCAACCTGCTGGACAAGTGTCTCTTCAAATTGGGAGAGGCCAGGCTGATACAGGTACAGATTAGTAAGATTAGTAAAATAAGTTGTCCCTTCAAATATCCTTGTTCCCAGCAACTTATGACTTTAAATCAGCACCCGCACCTGGTTTGGAGCTGGAATAAGATCAGTAGTCACTGTCACTAGAGCAACATCCCAGCTAATATAATTCATGTTGTGAACTTCTGTTATGTTTTGTTTGAAAATTCTGATAATTTGATGCTTCTGAATACTCTACAACAATCACGTGTGTAGAATACATAATGGTACATCAAAATGGATGTAAATGTAATGTCATAGGCATTTGACATTAAAGGGGACTAGCTGCTGCACTTGCTCAGACTGAAGCAAGTGCAGCACTGAAGCACTGAAACACAGAAATACTGAAAGCAGCTTTATATATGCCATAGCATTGGTCCACCTGGCTCAAAAGTCCTCTGTGATGATTGGTACTGGCTCCCCAGAGCTTCAGACAGGAATCCTTCCCAGTCCTTCCTGGAGATTCTGAGGACTCGGAGATTTGTATGTGAGTGATATGCACCGTCACCGAGCTAAAGTCATTCCTCTAAAGCAGTGGTCCTCAACCTTGGACCACCAGATGTTCTTGGACTACAACTCCCAGAATTCTTCACCACCACCTCTGATGGCCAGGATTTCTGGGAGTTGAAGTCCATGAACATCTGGAGGCCCAAGGTTGGGGACCACTGCTCTAAAGCACTACTAAGTTGCAAACCTGATATTTAAGGAAAGCACTACTCAGGGCAGGATGAGCTCCAGAATATTCAACCAACTATATTGCTGCATTGCCATTTTTTTTTCATCCATTAGTGCTCTGAGATAATGGCTGAAATCCTGTTGCATAAATTATGTCACATAAGGTTGATGTCACCAGGAAGACACTGGGAGGTGCAGGACAGTAGGAGAATGTCTGCAATTACCAAAAATTGTCACTATCAGTAAAACCATCAAGAAAGCAGCAATCTTTGGTAATTAAGGACTTCCTCCAGCTGTCCCACAGCTTCCCAATAACGACAAAGATTCCTCAGGACTTTCTGGTGAAGAAATAAAAATGTTTTGTTTCTGGAAAACTGCTGCAGCTGATTTCAGCCATTGGCTTCTCACCTCCACTGCTTCCTTGGGAGTGCATGGGAAGAAAAAGAGATTCTATTGGCATGCTACTAATATCTGATTTCAAGTTTTGAGTGACCTTCATCAACAGTTTCATACAGAAGTTGACTTATGTGAGACATACGATGGAACTCTGGAGAACGCACTAAGCCACTGGCTACAGAATGAAGCAGCAGCATCCTTCATCTTCTTGACCTCCCAGTTAGAAAGCCAGTTGACTACAGTATTCTTCATCCCCTTCTGGATGACACTGGATGAAACCAGTACAGTATTATAGCCAAAAGAATACTGTGGTAAGTGGAAGAGAAAGCTGCTGAGCAGAACTGGCAAAGTTACACTTCTTTTGCCCATCTTTCAAAGCAAGTTATTTACCAAGGCCACAAAAATGGTTTTCGTTCTGAACCTAGACCAAAAGCCAGTCTGAAAAGGATTCAGATAATTAGGATTTTTCCCCTAGCCACTACATTCTGAAACATTTGCTCAGATATGGAATGCTTGGAATTGATAAGTACATTCCAGAGGTCCAAAGCCAAAGTCCACAAGTAGTCCACAAGTCAGTCCAGGTCAATAGTATCAGGGGAAGGTGGAGAGAAGAATGCAAGAAACATGGTCCAAAAGTGTAAATGGCAAAAATTCAAGCTCAAAGAAAGGCAGGTTCAGGAGCAAGAGGAGGCATTGTCTTGAGCAAAGTCCCAGTCATACCCTAAAGTTTACACAGTGTAGCTGGAGCCCCACTTGGCCATCTGGGGAAGACACTCAGTTGATCTCTGTAGGAGGAAGAGCTTTGCCTCATGTCAACTGCCTACTCTTGACCTCAAGTCTTTTTTTCCCAAGGAATCTTTCCTGCAGCTGAGCACTTCTCAGAGACTGAAGACTTCTACAATAGCTCATGCCTTTATTCTTCTGTGATATTCTCATGGACTGCGAGGTAGTCCAGCCTCCTCTCTAGCTCTCATATGCTTTCTTAGAGTTCAACCACCTGGATTTTTGAGGGCCCGGAGTTTACAGGATGTAGCAGTTCCTTCCCTGTGTTTGGAGGTTCCAGCTCATTATTGCTAGAAGATGTATCCAGGAGGACTATCCAACAAAGATTGGATAATACAGCCAAATGTTAGAGAAAAACAAAACAAAAGGCAAAAGCAACAAGGGCAAAATATATTACATACTAAAAATGGCAGCAACAAAATTAAGGTTTAAGTATTAAAAGCCTGTCAGCGTAAAAGTACATTCAACTGCTGACAAAAGATGGCCAAAGAAGGTATTTGATGAAGTTAAATTAGAAGAACATTTCTGAATCATGGAAACACCACAGGAAAGGTGTTGAGTCTTGAGTGTCTTGATAAATCACTCAGATAAAATCAGTAAGAACAAGTTCTCTAACATTGACAGGAGCCGGTAAGAGAGTAAGTGGCCCTAACAAATCTAGTCCTAAACCATTTGGGCTTTTAAATTCTAAAACAAGTATTGAGAACACAGGGAACTAGTGGAGCTAATATATGCCTGAAGTTACACATTCTCAGCTATTAAGTGCTAGATAAAAATCTGGAAGCCATATTTTGAATCAACGGAAGCTTCTACACTAGTGGCTCTTAACCTTTCCTTTACCAT